CAAAGAGCATATAAAGATAAAACAATGGTGGGCAAGATCCCTCTAGGATCTCTTGTTAAAATATTCAACAGATTTTATTAAATCACAACTTAATATATCAATTTAATCAATTTACTTTTTGTTTGTAACCAAAAGGCTCATGATATTTATCCAAAAACATACTTCTATAACAGAGAGAGTAATGAATTGTTGGTTTCTTAGTGTGAAAATTATCATATAAATGTGTAACGGCTAAATTACTGGCAGAAATCAAATGGGAAGTTAACATAAACTACATATATGTACATGCAAAAACATTAATTGGGTCACCAGGTCAAAGGTCATTGTAACATTTTAACTAGAATGTATTTTACAGGGCAAATATTTTGTTATGCCATTATTAAGCAAAGATCGCCAGAATCAAATACTCATAAGATGAATGATATTTAATCTAAAGACTATATATTAATTTAGGAAGTTGCTAGATGTGTAATCGAGATAAAGGAGGATAAGGTAGCTTTAAAGCTAACTTTAACATCTCTCCTTTATATTTAGCATTATGTAAAAGAGCTTAATTGATTATATGTACTACATATCATCAAATTTCTAATTAAACATGTTATTGTACTTTACAAAAATGTTCCTTTACAGGACTTTCAGTACTTTAATCAGTTTATATAATCAACAAATGTATTTTATTAGCGGAAGTCTGTGCCATAAATTTTCTTGAACCTTAAGCTCATAAAGTGTATCACAAGTTTTTAACCCCGGGCTTGTATAGTTATGTATTGCTCTCTGATACGAAGGTGTGTAATTGTGTTATATGAATTGATACACGTGTGTAGATGTGTGAACTGAAAGAAATGAAACGAATCATCTAAGAATTGCTTTATGATTTTATTTTAAATGAAGGGTTAGTTATAACGTAGAGAATACTTTTAGGCATTTAGTTTCACTGAGCATCAATGGATGTGGATGGAGGGATGATTCAATGTGTTTATACGTATTTAACCAAACCGATGGCTTCTTCCAGGTGTTTTTGGGGATCCCCATCTGGTGTAAAACTAGCGATAGTTAAGACTGGTTTCACAGGGAGCTCAACAGAAGAAGGAATCTCGCGTGCTGCGTAGAAGATATCTGTGTGAGAACCATCTTGAAGCAATGTCTTGAGTCCTTGGACTTTTTCTTTGAGATCGTATTTATACTTTTCAATCTCCTGTTTGTAGGTAATAAGTACCATGGCGTTTTTCTCCTCCACTTCATCATAACGTGACAGAGACTGAGCGCATAACAGGTCTAGTTCCTCCTTAAATTTGGTTGTTTGAGTTTTCATCTGATCAGAAAGCTTTTTAAAGTTGCTGGCGTTTTCCTGTATCTCTCTCTCAGTAGTAGTTATTAAATGGTCAATGTTTACAAGGACATCGTCCTCTACTTTCTGTATAAAGCTTTGAATGTCTTGCTTCTTTTGAGGGATAATATCAATAAGTCCACATACGGAATGGCTGTCATGTTCGGTAGACAGACACGTGATACAGGCTAAGTCCTTACATGTGGTGCAGTAGAGTTGAAGTTCGTGTCCTTGGTGATGAAGGCAGGTTGTTTGACCTTTACCATGCACAGGAACCTGAGCTTTATTCGCGGC